TGTCGTCAGGTTTAGTAACTCTGTTCATAGGATGTCATTATACCCTGGCGGGCATGGGTGGCCCAGTCGTCTAAGGTATCACAATCCGCTGTGCAGAGTTGCATCCTTTGGGCACGCTAGACACCTATGATTGTGGGTTCGCCCCGATTATGTTTCTAGGTTAGTCAGCACCATACCCGTGCTTGCGGGTTTCACCAAAGTGGTCAACGTCAGTGACCTGCATCTCTTCAGGCTTTTTTCCAACATTAAGCTCATTACATTGATGTAACTGGAATACTGTTCAAAGCAGCGTTAAACACAAAACAAAAACAATGTAGATTTCCTGGCTTAATTTAACATACAGATGAAACAACCTAACATGTACACCATGTCTCACATTCAACAAAAGTTATTGGGCAAGCTCCTCACAGTGATAGCCCGTTCGCGGAGCTCTCTATACTATCACTGCCACCAGTCAAAACTCCCCACTGTGATAGGTGGCCCCAACCATGCTTGGAGTTGAACTCGCAACCCAATGACCGTTATGTTTACAAACAAGTGACGACTGTCGTGACGCCGAATACACTTATCGCTGATAAATTACTTTCTTTGTTTGTCAATTTGAATTTCTATTTCATTAAAACTATCATCTTTAATTGATATAGTAAGAATATAAGGGAGAAGTTGGTCAGTCGTAAACCTTTTCAAAATGAAATATGATGGCATTCCCAAAGACATAAACAAAAGTATAAACGTTACTACAAATGGGGTTAGAGGGCACCGAGAGTGTAACGAAGGTGTCACGCGCTGGGAAGGAGCTTGGTTATTGGGGAGGTAAGGGAGGTAACTCTCATCACTGTCTGCTAGTAATTCCTGTGCTTGTTCTGAATGAAGGTACCAAATCTCTTTCCAAAGGAGGTTTATTTTGGATCGCAATAGTCATCTTTCCCCATCTTTATCTGTATTGATATCATCAATAGTGCAACATGGCAACACTCGCATAAAATGACAGCATAACAATTCCAGTTTATAAAGACCATTCCAGTTCATGAATGTCACTCCAGTTCATGAAGACCAATCCAGATTATAAAGACCATTCCAGTTGATGAAGATCATTCCAGTTTATGAAGACAATTCCAGTTCATGAAGATCATTCCAGTTGATGAAGACCATTCCAGTTCATGAAGACCATTCAGGTTTGTATAGACAATTCCAGTTTATGTCATTTTCAGTCTATGGAGACCATTTTAGTTTACGAAGACCATTCCACATTTTCCAGTTAAGGCATTCTTCCAGTTTATGACTCGCCGCGAATAGCTGCAAAATTGCTGATGCGGCGTTAAGCAATATTCACTCACTCACTTCCAGTTTATGAAGATCAAACCAGTTTAAGGAGACCAAACCAGTTTATGAACACCAAACCAGTTTATGAACACCAAACCAGTTTATGAAAACCAAACCAGTTAAAGAAGACCAAACCAGTTTATGAAAACCAAAACAGTTAAAGAAGACCAAACCAGTTTATGAAGACCAAACCAGTTTATGAAGACCAATCCAGTTTACAAAGACCACTCCAATTTATTACTGCTTGCTGTGACAACATTCTGCAGCTCATGTACCCATGGTAGGGTAGTTAGGTGGCTTCATCATCAGGCTAGAGCCACTAAACCACTTGTGTGCCATCATTAGCAAATAATCAATAACACATGTTAGTTCCATGCTAGTCTTTCCTGACAAAGCAGCAGCATACGGCCTGTTATTTCTAAACCCATCAGTCCAAAATGCATAAGTAGAAAAACATCCCAATGGATTGTCCCTCATAATATGACTGAGTATTAGCACTCCACTGAAACGAAAATTAATTCGATTTCGGAGAGTTCATTGTCATGCGGGCAAAGATGTATCAGTGTTGGAAACAAAGGATGAAGGACAAGGTGTCCTCTTGAGAACCCTATTGTTAAAAGTCCCTAGATTCAATACTGTACTTGCTAACCGCAATGACCACCTTCCTCTGCTGACCCGTGAAGATCTGGACAAGAATAGGTCTTCAGCAACCCATGCTTGTCGTAAAGGGCGACTATGCTTGCCGCAAAAGGCGACTAACGGGATCGGGTGGTCAGGCTTGTTGACTTGGTTGATGCATGTCATCGATTGTGAGGACCAATGCTCATGATGTAAATCACTGGATTGTCTGGTCCAGACCTGATTATTTTACAGACCGCCATCTTTTTGTTGGAATATTGCTGAGTGCGGCGTTAAACAACAAAGCAACCAACCTAGTTCATATGTTATCAGGTTATTCTCTCAATAATACCTTGTATATAACTTGGCTATCTCTGGGTTAAGCATGTCTAACTGTCATCATTAATTATTGAGCTGACTGACTGACTGACAATGACATCGGATCACGTTGGCACAATGAAGCATGAATATTTGAAAGGTGTGTGGTGTTATTTCATCATAGAAGAGAAATGAGGCAACACACGGTAATATGCCATTCAATCAAAATGTCTTTTTACACCGAGTTCAGAGCTCCAGATAAGCATTTGGTGTTGTGGGTATTTTACCCATGCATTTTAAAATCATTGGGTATCAGTAATTCTATTTGGGTTTTAAAATTTCTGTTACCCACTAGTTTTTACACATGTGGGTATTTAAGTGAAATATTTAAAAACGCTATTCATCTAGTCTCTGCAAACTGGTGTCGTGCGGGTTCGAGAGCTTTATAGGACTCAAAAATACCACGATACTTCCACAAGAAAGTGTGATGGCACATGATCATGATGTTACTGTCATCGTGGAGTTTGGCAAGGTTGACGGAATGTCCGTATATAATTTCAAAATAAGTTGCTGATTTGCTAATCGTATACACAGGGTTACTTCACAATATTTTGATTATACGCACAAGATTATTTTTGTAGCGTATCTGTAATGTTCGTTGCGTATTTGATACACTTGGGATTTTATTTGACTGCATATTTCTGCATTTCTGATGCGTATTTTACGCAGATACGCAGCTTATCTGGAGCTCTGCACCAAAGCCTATGTTATAAAGATGTGGCAATGTGTCATGAGATTCTGTGTGGATCGTCCCAGAATTTCATAACGACCAGCCAGAATATTGCCAAATTTGTCCCCAAAAATATTTATTCTCTCTTTGGCACTTTATCTGCATAATTTGTTCACTTCAGCAATTCCTTATTATAATCACTGAGGCATATTTCTCAGCTGTCGCATGTGGCCAGCATGTTTAATTAGATACTGTATATGACCGCGTATAAGCCAAATTTTGAGGACCAGAAAAAAGATTCTGTAGAAAGGGGTCGGCTTATCCACGGGATACACTTTCATGATGGTATTTTTCAGATCGTGATCTGTCAGAAACATCGCTTGAATGACGGTCCGATAAAATACAACTTCCCGAAAGTTTGGAAGTTGCCACGACCAGAGCCATTATTGTTATAAATTATCAATAAAGTTATTATTATACATGCATGTTACTACTTCCGATGATAAGTTTTCAATTGAATGTTCAAAGTTTATCGTTCTTCATAAACTCCACAATCTTTACATGTAACAATATATGTAATTCACAGCTATAATATTTAATCCCCAGATGAAATCGCCAATAGCTATTATGTACGTTTTGCAAAGTTCATAAATTGATAGTTAACAAGTGTCTACCTTTATTGAAAGAGGCAAATAAACAACTGTAACGGCGAGTTATTCTGTTCGCCATTTGCAAAAAAATGTGATCAGCTGTTTCCTGTGACGTCACAAACGGTGACCACTGGGATTGCTTCCTGTTGTTTAAAAAGCAACACGGTACACAAGGAAATGAGCACTGATAATAACGGGCCGATTGGTATTGTCATGTTGTTTACACAAACATTTTCAAGTTGTAGGTGCTTAGCGATCGTGTTGGGAGTAGGGGCTTAATTCCTTTGTTTTCGAGAGATTAGTTTAATAAACTGGAGAAGCCTGTGAGTAAGTGATGGTCATTCAATGTGTTCATAGTTTATTTAATTCAATTGGATTAACATACAATAGTGGTATAAAGGGGGGTATAAAAGTTGGTATATTTTTACTAACTGACATTCCCATCATGAGTTTGAAATGAAAACGCCATGCTTACGATGCTGAATTCAAACTGCGAGTCTTCGCTCTAGCTGATATATTTTCCCACGGGTTCATAATTCTATATACACCGATTCACAAAATGGTGCTTCGTTGTTGATGGCAACATATTACGATCATTATGAGATTAAAAAAAAAGACAAGAGAAACGGCTTCCCACATTATGAAAGTGGATGACTGGTTTGTTAATATAATTACAACTTTTTTCAGATCTTTTTTTTGAATATCTGCGAGTACCGGCACATGTCTTGCAGTCCGACTTCGCAGTGTTTTTTGCCGTTCACTTCCTTGTTCAGCTTATCTGCGGGTCATATCATTTTCTTTCGTATTTTTATGGTCAAGTTAACACCTCGGCTTATCTACGGGGTCGGCTTATCCGCGGTCATATACGTTACAGTCATGCATTGCGAACACCCATCACACAGTAATAAGCATGTTTATAGGGACATAAACTCATTTCGGCTGGCAACACATTTTCATTTTAAGTGGTAGTAATTTGAAACCAATGTAAAGATACATGACCCATAAGAAAATAATTATGCTTCAGACTGTTGAAAAAACAAGAAATTGTCTGCCACAAAATATACATTGTTGCATGACTTTTTTCCAAAAATATTTAGGCTCATAGTTCTTATTAAAAACAAATATAGTTTTCCAGCTGAAGGTGAAAAAAGTATCCAGTTTCTATACAAACTCCCAGGCCCTACCCAGAATATAAAATGGCCTGTCCCTGTCTGAACCCCCTGCCCCCAGCTGGATCTGCCTATGAGAGTAAAGGGGTCCTTGTTTTTGAGGGCTCCTAGATTGACTTCAACAGCAAGACTGCTCAAGGGCCCAGAACCCCCTTATTTCTTGGACTGTAACCATGGTAACTGTAAACTCACCAGCACATCTTCATCCACGATCTTCACCTTGTCCTCCGACTGGCGTTTGGACGTGGCGCCGTAGTCTTCCAGCTGCAGAGAGGCGCCGTTGATCTTGTTCTTTTCCATGGCTCACACATGTATCCTGCAGAACAGACGCATTCAGTCACAATCTGGTTGTTTGTCGTTTAATGACGTAATGAAACAAAATTATCTACCCTGCCTAAAATTATCAACAAAAACTAACATGATTGTTCATTCATTCGTCAAAAGCTATCAGCTAAAACAGCAAATTTCAAACTCCCAATACTTCATGTGATCTCTGACTATGCATAACCAATTCCTATATCACTGCACGGATCTTTGTATCAGCTGACAATGGCGGAGTGCGCAACATTTTTTACACCAAATTGGCAAAACAACATAAAACTTTGGTAGCTCATGAAATTTGAATTCCATTTTAACATTAATCAACAACACCGAAGTCACTAACTACAACATATTTTGTCACTTTAATCCTACCAGAAATCAAGAAAAAAAACATCCACGGGTAAAGTTTAAAAAAGCAGTCAAATTACGTGAGTGAGTGAGTGAGTTGGGTTTAACGCCGCTGTTAACAGTATTCCAGTTATATCACGGCGTGTCAGCTTAATGTGGGAGGAAAGCCCGAAGTGATGCAGGTCTCAGACGTTTACCACTTTGGTGAAACCCACGAGCACGGGTATGGTGCTGACAAACCTAGAAACATAATCGGGGCGAACCGGGATTCGAACCCACAATCATAGGTTTCTGGCGTGCCGAAGGGACGCAACTCTGCACAGCGAATCACGGCGCCTTAGACGACTGGGCCACCCGTGCCCCCCAGTCAAATTACGATTGTGGAATGACAACAAATCAGAAACTAAATGGATATACCCATAACTCTTGCTCCATATTAATATACAAATTTCAGGTCACAAACAATTTTATTATAGATGATATTCGCCGAGCCTTTAGATAAGACAGCACTGTTGGAAAAGTTTTCACGAATGTACCTTCCTGCAAGAATTGTCCATGTGTGAGAATTACAAATTTTGAACAATTTCTAGTGGGCAAACAGCAAGTTGAATTTAGAGGTTAGCAGATGCTAAGGTATGCTTGCTTCCAGATTTGTCTATAAAAATTGAAAACTGCAACTTGATCATTGAAATGTAGCTCATATACATCGTGACTGTCAACCGTCTTTTCAACTCCCAGTTCCTCATCAACATTTTCTGACTGCTGCACATGGCAATCACGCCACCTTCTGGGGCAACAAATGACTTCATTGTTGCTAATAAAACAAAAGAGTAAACCTGGAGTAATATGCATTTTTGAAAGAACACGTGCTGAACTGTTGATACTAATAAATTGAAAATTTTACAATATTTCCTTTGGTAAGGTATACGATACTGACGGAAATAGACAGTGAAAATGAGGAAAGCACCGTGTTTGATAAAATATTATTCTCAAATGTAAATAAGATATTTTTTTGGAGCAAACTGTTACACCATTAACAACAGTCGCTATTTCACTTCACTTTGAATTCATTCAATTACAAACTAAACACACATTGTCAAAGACCTAGAAAACTGTTAACGGCAGATTGTTGTCTCCCGCATGCCACCAATGAACAGCTGATCGTGTTAAACATGTCTGCTAATAATTGTACTTGTAAATAATTTCTCCTAAAGTCAACAATGAACAGAAATTACATAAATATTAATGAAAACATTATTTTATTTCACTTTACGATACTCATTATCCAATAACATACACATATTTTTTTAATATTCGCATCAGAATAATAAGGTGTTTGAAAATAGGATACGCGAGGACATATTTACATAGTCTCGTAACATTAATTGCATCTTATTTCGAGACACAAATAACAAACATCAAATACAGTTGCAACTGTTTGAAGATGAAATATCTCTGATAATTAGCAAAATCTCAAGACACTCCAAAATCCAAAAAAATGTCACAGGTTTTGATCCAGGGTAGATGTTTCTCTCATACAGAAAAACAATCCAGGATAATCCCTGAAATATGCATTTGTCGAACCCTAGTTTAATACTGCTTCAGAGGTTCAGGTTCGAGCGAGTGAGTGAGTGAGTGAGTGAGTGAGTGAGTGAGTGAGTGAGTGAGTGAGTGAGTGAGTGAGTGAGTGAGTGAGTGAGTGAGTGAGTGAGTGAGTGAGTGAGTGCGTGAGTGAGTGAGTGAGTGCGTGAGTGAGTGAGTGGGGTTTAACGCCGCTTTAAACAGTATTCCAGTTATATCACGGCGTGTCAGCTTAATGTGGGAGGAAAGCCCGAAGTGATGCAGGCCTGAGACGTTTACCATTTCGGTGAAACCCACGAGCATGGATATGGTGCCGGCCGCTTCATACAAAAAGACGTAAAAAAATGGTACTTCTTGTTACCCTGTCTGGCGCTCAGCATTAAGGGACCAAAACAAGGACTGCTTGGTTTGGAGTCAATATACTGTGTCTGAGTAGGGTATTCATTTTAAACTGTGGCATGGTATCTCAATGGGTTAGCACTAGTCCGGACTAGTACAAGCCGCCACACACACACGTGCAAGCACGTTACTATTTAAGTGCAATAATCTTGGACGCAATTTCACCTCACCTAAATTCACCTCACCTCCACAATCATTGTACAATGTCTGTTTCATAAAGTGATCCCATTTCTTTACTATTGGCCCCGCTCAGCTGACATCACGTATCTACATATATCAACTTCAAAGATTCCCTGAAGCAAACGATAAGGCACCATTTTGAAACTGTTGCTAATCCGTGTAATGTTATCTGCATACAAAGCCTGTCTGGCTTGTTAGAGGTTCTGAGCCAGGGGTCAGACTGCTAATAACTAATGTCCCCATCACATAGACTAAATGAACTTCTTCATCCTGGGAGAGCCTAGCCACAAACAGGCTTATGGCAGTTAGGGACAATTTAGTGATAGGACCTGCGGTTAAGGTATATTTGCATATATACTTATGTGCGTGACAAATTGCTTTCCATAATAAACATGACGGGTTGATATTGGACTGTATAGACTGCTATACACTGCAGATAAACAAATATTGCGGCTTTCTCTTGAAGACAACATTAAAGTGTTCAAACATTACAGTTCCTTATTTTAATTAAGGATTGACTGTGTATTTTTTCGGTTCATTGAGGTATGAATCGAAAAACCAATGTGCAAACTGTATTACAAAAGTTTGCACATCGGTTTCTCGATTCATACCTCAATGAACCGACAAAAATACATAGCCAATGCTTAGAATTAAATTCCACAACGAAAATATAAAATAGTATAAACAAAAACAGTTGTTTATATAAAAGCAGACAAAAATGACGAGATTGATAAACATTCCTGGTGTAGGAATACATACTGTGACGTGACATGAATCAGGGGATTGTTTAATTTATGCACATAACTTGACATGCCCACACAGTCAGTAGCGCCAATCAACGGAGAGAGGGATTAAAAGTTCACAGGACCTGTCAATCAAGGCAAGAGGCGAGAAGAACTGCAACAGTCAGACTGTAACGAGCCGGAACAAATATGTCTAGGAGAAGGCGGCTGTTTCAAATGACATAGTCAGTTATCGCCAGATTCGAACATTAGTTCCCTGAGAACGGGCAGACCCAGTTGGAAAAATGCTAGTTAGAAATTAAACCCGAAGAAATAAAAAATGTGGCACCGAGGCGAGCGGGACAAAAACAGGCGAGCGAGTCTGTACATTTGCTGTTTCTTTCCTTCTCGGCCTTCGGTCTCAAGAGACTGCCTCCGTGGTCTAGTGGTAGAGCGTCCGCCCGGAGAGCGGAAGGTCCGGGGTTCGATCCCCGGCCACGGCATACCAAAAGACGTTAAAAGATGGTACTTGTTGTTACCCTGTCTGGCGCTCGGCATTAAAGGGCTAAAACAAGGACTGGTTGGCTCGGAGTCAGTATACTGTGTCTGAGTGGGGTATTCATGTTAAACTGCGGCATGGTATCTCAGTGTGCTAGCACTATAATCGGCATCAGTCCGGACTAGTACAAGCAGCCACACACACACGTGCATGCACGTCGCTATATACGTGCAATAATCTTGGACGCGACGTTAAACCCCATTTCACCTCACCCACCTCACCTTGGTCTCAAGGGTTGTATGGACAAAGAATATGCATGAATTTTGGTAAACACCCAGTGCATGGCGATACACGTGAGCAGAAAGGGAAATGAATGCAATAACACGTGACCAATTCAGCTAATCAGATCAATGCAGGAATTTCAATGAACGCAAGGTAAATTTAATTATTTTATTCTTAAAAAATTAACTGAGCACCTAGTTATGTAATAATTGAGCTCCTAAACATGCAAAACATTAAACAAAAAATCATGACCTCAAAATCGTCCCCACATGGAAATAAAAAAAATAGCCAGTGTTTGATTGCATAGGGGTACAACATTTGTTTGTTTGTTGTTTAATGCTGCACTCAGCAATATTCCAGCTATATGATGGCAGTCTGTAAATAATCGAGTCTGGACCAGCCAATCCAGTAATTGACATCATGAGCATCGATCTATGCAACTGGGATATGATGACATGCATCAACCAAGTGGCCTCTTACGACAAGCATAGTCGCCATTTATGGCAAGCATTGGTTGCTGAAGACCTATTCTACCCCGGGTCTTCCAAGATTCAGGGTACAGAAAAACAACAGAATAACAAAGCCTGACCCCCTTATCCTCCTTAACACTCCCAGAGGTATGTCAGTCCTTCCAAAGACTATTTGATTCTACTAGTCAGCTTATATTCATTAGATTTCACTCCTTACAAAGTGAGTGAGTGAGTGAGTGAGTGAGTGAGTGAGTGAGTGAGTGAGTGAGGACGGTTAGGACGGTTAGTTCACTGACATAAACCCATGTTTTCAAGTCTATAGCATGTTATCTGTCATTGCTCGTGGTGTACTTTTGGTCCAGAGTATTTACAGGCTAGTGTCAAAAAGATGCATTAGGTGAGGTGAGTTGGGTTTAACGCTGCTTTTAACAATAATTCCAGTCATTTCGTGGCGTGTCAGCTTAATGTTGGAGGAAAGCCCAAAGTGATGCAGGTCTCGGACGATTACCACTTC